CAGGATTAGGCAGTGTTTCATTTTGCTATGAATAGGGCCTCTATGAGTCAATACCAACTCAATGGCACCTAACAACAACATCAAGGTTGGGATTGGTTAGTTTTACCTTCCAGCGAGGCTTAAAAGGAGCTATCTCAGAAGCAGAAATAGAAGATCCCGAGACCATCAAGAAGGAGCACTATGACTGGAGTGTAAGACCTCTATCTACAAAAATGTCAACAGCAGAAGGGAAGCCAGAGGCGTGGCATGGAGAGACAGAGCCCATGTGGCATCTTGGCAGATTGACTGAGTCAAACTGAGTGCCTATGGATGGGAGACTAGTTTGAAGAATGTGCCCTTTGGGATTCATGGACTAGCTAAAAGAACTTTGTAACACTTGCTTCAGCAGGGCAGAGGCCACACAACCACAAGACTGAGAGGCTGAAGACAATAAGAGTGTGGTGCGCCTGCAGGAAGGCAGACAGAAGGTGCTCCTGATTGGAGAACTGCTGTCTCCTGAGTTGGTTTTGATCCTGAATTGTACCCTGTTCACTTTCCTAATAAACTCCCTAATCATAACTATTGTTATGAATTCTGTGTGGTCATTGCAATGGATTATTAAACCCAGATGTGAAGCAGAGAGTGCTGTGGGAGGGATGCTTGGTGTCAGAATAGGGGAATGAAGGTTGTAGGGTGGAAGCATATTTGACTTCATGTCAGCAGTATCGGCCTTGAGCTGATTTTAAGTTTGATTCTCTTTCTCCCTTGTGAAGCCAGGGGAAGTCAGGCATGGCTCCCACATCGTTTTGTACTCAGATATACATAACAATCATTTTCTAAAGTGATAGAAATTGTCCAAATGTATCCATCAACCCACAGTCTGCTCTGTGCAGACTCCCTGAATCTGGGGTGAAATTAGTGAGATGTGAGTAATCACAAAAGCTGGGATCCCCAGCTACAGATGAAGCCAAGTCAAAAAATAATGCTACAAAATCATAGCCACCTTCATAAAATAAAAATGTCCAAAATGTGAAGTAATTGATTCTCAACATATCCTCCGTCTACATCTCTACCTGTCTGAAGATGGTGTTTGCATCCTCTAACCCTTCCCTGAAGAAATCTGCACTCTTAGATTTTCACCACCTCAAAATAGCAGTTTGGGCATTCTCAGGACATTCAAACCCTGTTCCTTTTCAATGCTTTTTTGAGTTTGGGGAGCCAAAATAAGTCTGAATGGGCAAGACAAGGGCTGTATGGTGGATGAGGTATGACTGCTTAAGGAAATGCTCACAGCCTGAAAAAGAAGCAGGTGGAAAACAAAGTCTTCAGTGCAACTTCCCTGGTTTTTCTCTCACCAATGTGCTCTTCAATTTTCTTACAACTTCTTTCTAACATGCTCCCTGATAGTCCTTTGTCTTTTGAGAAGAATCCATCAAAATTATCCTTAACAGTGCCCCACCACCACCCAAAGTCACCATAACCTTCTAAGCTGACCTCTCTGCCTTGAAATTACCTGGCAGAGCTGATCCTCTCAGAAGTCACTGTATTGTTTGTACTTTGCTTCTGGCCCAACGAGACTAAGATGAATGTGCTACTAAGATAACTTGTCTGTGTCCATTCACTGATCACAGAGACATACTTAAATACATTTTGTTTGGAGTGTATGAACTGGAATCCTAATAGTAATAATAATTTTTTACTTACACTCATAAATTGGTACATTTCCTAGTTGGTATATTTTCTGGAGTTGCAAATGTAATTAAATATTTTGTTTTAAAGGTAAGAAATCTCAAACCGCTTACCCATTCAACTTATTTTAATATAGTGAAACCTGTGAGTGTGGGAACTTGTTTTTCTGGGACTTAAATTGTGTTCCTTTTCAGTGTTCTAATTGTGTTGAATTGGTGATAAATAGCTATATGACTTTTCCAGACATGTTTATTTGGTAGTGACCTTTATAGTGTAAAAATTCCTTGGCCAGCATCTTGAAATATGTTTACCCTGTGTCTCAATTTTTTAAAAAGTTTTTATCGTGAATTAAGTGATATTTTACATGGGAGAACATTAGCTTTACTTTGATCCGATTGTATTTCGTTTCAGTGCAATGATTACAATCCCCTCTATGCATAATCAAACAACCAAAATACACCCTGCAAGCCAACCCCCAGCCATCAGAACACAGTCCCTCTCCCTCTCTGAGTCCGGAGTCCCCAGCCGCTCCATCTCCCCATGTCATCATCTCTGCCTCCATCTCTGGCATCACTGCTTCTCTGGGTAGGGTCCCACAATCTGCTCTTCTCCTTTGATGGTCCCAGGGACCTCAGCTCCTGAACTGAAAAATCAGCTACTCCCCTCCTTTTGTTAGAAAACATCTACCTTTACATTTCCAACATTCTGTGTCTACATTTTTAGGGTTTATATTTTTGCTCAACAGTACAGATTCCACATTGTCAAATTCCTGCAGCTGATTTATGGTAATAAGCTTTAAGTTAGAACATTGAAATGCATTAAATTAATTTTCTCTGTTTATTAAGATACAATAAGGATTTCAGCATTACAAAATGTTCTTTATCATTTGGCTATGCATATGTTTAAGGAACTGGAGGAGTCAAAGTATTCTCATTTGAATGTTATATTCAGTGCATGAGCACGCACCTTGGTGGTTGAGGCCATGTGTAAGAAACACACAGGTAAGACGTATTTAAGAGGGTATTCCAGCTTTATTGAAGTATTAAGTACACACTTCTTGATTGATTTTTCCTGCAGCAAATGTAAAGCCATAACAGCTACATAAATTATGCAAGGACTAGTGGTTCACATTGGTATTCTTTAGCGACCACTTCAGAAAACAATTTGGCAAGGGAGTCTTTCGATATTCATTTTTTTCCTAGCCCATGTACAAAAGAGATACAGATCCATATGGGATGGATTAGCACTGATTCTTTTTAAATGAAACTAAATATCATAAAACATCCAAGTGATAACTGGATGATCTTTCCTAACTAAAGCTCTCTTTGGTAGCTTGTTTACCTTAAATATTATTTTTGTCTTCCAAGAGGCATTAGATAGGGAGTGTGAGAGATTTATTAAAATCCTGAATTGCTTGAGAATGCTTTAGGACCTTGCCTTCAAATCTGCAGATAAGCAAAATTCCTCATATTATGAGTTGGTATTTTCACTGTAAGAAGATTTGATATCACTGTTGAAGCAAGAAGTTTGTTAGACATGTATATGTGTCATCTATTAGAAAGACCCAGCTTCTCACGCAATTGTGTAAAATAAAATGGGGCAGGGCAGGACACATGGTATGAAAAAGACCAACTTAGAACAAGTGGAAGGTTTCAAGTTCTCTTTAAATGGGCCATGTATTCTGAGAGAGAAAGGTATTCATCTCAAGAAATGGGCAGGCACGTGGACGGTTGCTAGGGTGTGGATCATTTTTGCATAAGGATATTCAGGTCACTTGTTGAAGACTCTCATACTTTAAAGCAGCTTGAGCATGATGTTGGAAAAACTTGGTTTTGTTAAATGCCTTTGAGTCAATTCCAACTCATAGCAACCCTGTGCAGGGTTTCTGAGGAGCAACTTGTAGGTTTGAACCACTGACCTTGTAGTTCCCAGTCCAGTGCTCATCCTACAGTGCCACACCAGACCCTAATTAGTTACTTCTAAGTCATGTGTCCTTGAAATATTCCTAAGAACCTTTTCTTTCTTTTCTTCGATAACAATTTTTGGAGTCCCCAAAAGAAACCCAAACTAGACCCATACTTGGGATTTTCTAAAGATCCAACAAGAGAATATCAAAATATTTCATACATGACAAGCATTATATTATTAAACTTATATTGTGACTGTTACTAGTGATAATAATGAGCCCTGTGTGTGGTACTGTAGGACAGGCACTGAACTGCAAGCTTAGCAGTTCAAACTCACCAGCCACCCTTGGAAACACTATACTGGGACACTATGAGTCAGAACCGACTTGATGGCACATGATAACTGCAATAAGACAATAGAATTGGATAAACTGGTCCGTAAATTTTCCGCGGGAAATTTCAAGTCTGTTTGATGTGTTTTCTTTCTTGAAAACATGTTCATTTACAGAGTAGATATTTTATCAAAGTGGTTAATGCATTTTCTCCTAGCACATTATTGCCTTTTGATGGACACAAAATCTGGAGAGATGACTGTATACAATTTTCCTGAATAATTGGGGATTTTATTTTACAACTTGCAACCTTGGAGGGCCAAGGCCATTTATAAAGAATAGCATGTTTGGTAAAGTAGAGGGGACAGCAAAAATGAGAAAAACCCTTCAGGAGATGGCCTGACACGAGCTGCTCCCAAACATACCAACCATCTGTTGTTGTTATGTGCTGTCGA